TGTTAGTATTCTGATTAATTTAAATACTTGATTGCATTTAGCTTGGTAAAGTGGTTAGGACTTCACTGTACTGGATGTGTTCCAACTGGGACAGTCTGTCAGGCTCCAAAAAGTTCTGAGATGATATAGCTGGAAAAGAGAATATGAAACCAGATTGTGTCACTAATGAGTCTTTTACTCTGGTTCAGTATTTGCATTTATGAGTACCTCAGGTGTTCTCTGTTGTGGCTGGGGTTTGTTGCCATCGCTGGCTTGAGGAAACTTCGGGGTGATGCCAACTTGCAGCCCCTGGTTTTGGCAGGTAGGGTGCCCTTGCATCTCTCTGGCCTTGTGCATCTCTAGCTACTGCCCTGGAGGTGAGCAGCAGCCAGCACAGGGACATCACCTGTGGTTTTCTTCTCTTCTGATCCAAAACCAAACCCAGGGTCAGGCCCAAGTGGGCCTGGAGCTGTCTCTGCTTCTGATTGCCTGTGGAACAAGATCCAGCATGATACACAATGGAGTTCTTCCATGGAAAGAGCAACATATTAACTATTGAGTTGCTTAGGAGCAAGCAAGATGCTTAGTTCATCTTTATACTGAGATATTCTGGGGATGTTGCAAATTCTAGTCTTCCACAGCCCTTTTTCTGGGAAATAGGCAGATTTGCATACTTCCTAATTCCCTGCTTATTCCAAAAATAGTAATATTTTGTATTACTGAACACTTAATTTGAACTTGTATTTTGCTTACATAGTAATAAAATCAGTTTACATAATAATTCTCTCATTCCCTTGACAATCCTTATTGCTTAGCCGTGCTGGTTTTTGTTACCTTAGATGAACCATTAATTCGAATCCAATGTTCTTGGCAGGAGTACAGTCACAAAAGACAGTGTCATACATCTGTGCTTACTGAGGGAGGAGTGTCTCAAAATGTGATTAGAACCTCCAAATAAAGTCAGTCTTAGAAAACAATTTCATACCTAGCCTGTTGTTGCAATATACAGGAGAATAAACATTTATTCAAAATTTAGTTTGCACAGAATATAACTGCAAGTCTCTGTTTAGATGCCTAGGCATTAATATTTTCTAGACTGTTCTGTACACATTTTGGGAGCAAATGATCAGCTTATACTTTCTCTCTGTGCAGCACTGTGACAAGGGTCGTGCTCAGTGGCCAGGACTCCAGGATACAATGGTGATAGGAACAGGTACCCCCAGAGCTGCTGTATCATGTGCATATTTTCACTCTTCATTTAATCTGGCTGCAAAACAATGCCATGGCCATTGTTTAAAACAAAGCTTGAGTTGTTCAGCTGCAAGATGTAGGGAAGGTTCCTCCTCACAAAGAAGGAAATCCTTTAATTGCAGAAGAGTTCTACTGATGGATGACAATGTGAGGTTGCCCTGTCGGGCTTTGGTCCCAAGAGAGTTTGACTTGATGAAAAATGGCAAGTCTTGTTTCAGACCTGTCATCTTCTGTTTGGGGATTGTGGTGTTTCAGTCATTAAAAAAAGTCCTGAGTTTGTCCTGCTTTTCATAAACAACCAGAGCAGACTGAGAGCTGTCAGCCCTGGACCTGACAGATGTGGTGGCTACCAAGGTGCTCATGAGTGCCCAGAGATCAGATGTCACTTGGGATGCTAAAGCCATAGTCTGATATGTGTTTTAATCCCCAAAAGAAGGGATTTTATCATCCACTCAGCTTGGTCACTGGCCCCTCTCTGCTTATTTCCTGTGCCAGCTCATTTTGTCCTTCAGCCTTGCAGCAAATTGGACTGGGGCTGTCCTCTGCTCAGAGTGTGAGTGGCCACACACAAGCCATACAGAACCTGTCTCTCTTCAGCCATTTCACACAGGTGAACACCCTGCTAGTCTCTGTTAAAAGGGACAAGCCCACCCACTGCTGTCCTGCTTGTTTTTCAGCTTTGAAAAGCTGAGCGGTGTTACCCTTCCTTTGAAGGCCCACAAGAGATGCTTTCATGCTGGGGTTATATCTGCATCAGTACCTGGAGATGCAGCCTAGAGGCAGCACAACCCAGGACTGAGACAGGATGGGGGAAATAGCAAAAAGACTTTGTGAATTCCTTCCAGAGAAGTTAAAATTTTACTTTTGGGTGAGTAGCAATATTCAGGTGCCTTGGGAAGTCTCCCTGCATTGCTGAGAGTCGTATCCAAATATGTATCTTGAGTCTTGTTGCTGTTAGCTTCTTGGAGGAAGAACTAAAGCAGGATCAGACTGCAAGCAGTCTAGACACAAAGCCCACCATTGCTTTAGCAGCTGTACAGAGGTAAATAAAGGGGGCTACTGAGGCTTTATTGTCACACATGATGTTAAACACCATTTATTTTAAGTAAAGAAAAAAAATTATGGATGCTGTGCCAGGGCTGCCTTCAGAGGATGTTTGCAATTGTTTTCCTCGCTTTGCATTTGTCTTTCTAGCATCTGTCTTGGATTGACTGCCTTGGAAAAGGCATTTACAAGTAGAATTGAGAAGTGTACTTAAAAGCCAAATCTGGGCTGTTTGTTGTAAAGTAGCCGATAGATAGTTGGCGAGGCACCAAAAGGTCCAGACACTAATCTAATTGTTTACAGCTCATGGAGAGATTAATCCACAAGATTGGATGCCCTCATTTCCTTTACACATCACAATGAATGTGTGAAATGCCAAACCCCAAAGGGCAGTATGAGAGAAAAAATGGCTCCATTTCAGTGCAGTTATTGTTTCAAGTTTAGAAATATATTGATTTTCTTTGAGTTTTGATAAGAGTACAAATTCAAAATGCTTTGCTTAATATTACAGTATTCTTGTTTCCTAGGCTTAGTAAAACAAAACCATGTTTTCTTATTTGGGTGTAATATATAGTGCTCTGCAAAGTCCAAATCAAACATGCTATAAAACTTATGGAACACACAGTCAAAATGGGCAAACCTATGTCCTAATGTCCAGGCTGGTTCGCTCTAGAAATCTCGGCTGCTGTAAGATGCTGTACGTTGGAGCAGAATGAGCTCTGCAAAGGGAAGAAAAGCAATCCCAGCCTTGCTTGGGTAACCAGTGAGAATAAAGCAAGCACTCTGGAGGGGCTGCTGCAAGCAGCACTTCTGTAAAGCAGGTCTTCTCTGAACTGAAAGAGGAGCTCAGGAGCAAACTGCAGAGCTGTGGCCACTCTGAAGAGGGAATGATGCAGTAAGATGAGAACATGGGTGATGTGCTGGGTGTGCTCCAGCCTCCCTCCATCCCCCTGGCAGAAGCTGGGCTGTGCCAGGACGTGGTGCCCAGCACCGAGAGTGGTGCTGGGCAGGGTTTGTCTGGGAGAAAGGGGAGGTTTCATCCTCCTACCATTGATCATGCTGATGGTAATGCTGACACCAGCTGCTCCTTCTGCTGGCAAGGGAAAGCACTGTGGCTTTGGGCAGAAGCAAGATTCAGGACAGCTGTGTGGAGACCAGATAAATAATTCTGTGGTCTTGCAGATGTGTTAACCTCTGACTCACTGGCTAAAACAGAGAAGGTTTCATGAGCAGAGTGTGTGTGCACGTTTGAAAGCTGCTGGGCCTGTGAGCTGTTCAACGATAGTTTGTTGGGGAAATTTTGCTACAGTTGCAAAGAATTTTCAAAAAGCTAATGGGATTGAGATGTATTTACTCTGATATTGTAATGCCTGGCACATTCGGGGGAAAGAAAATTAATATCCAGAACTAGTCTTTGCAGTGTTTCTAATTCCTTAACTAAGCGATATATGATGTCCTCATATATCCTTTTAGTTTACCAGCTCTAAGGAAGAAGAGAATATTTTGCTAGTTCAGACTTGTTTTAACTTAACTTTTAATAATACCAATCAGCACCATGTTGCCTGAAAGTCTGAATCTGACAAAAGTTTAGTTTAAATGGGCTGCTTTTATGAGGTCATGTGTAGACTCATTGCTCCTGAATCAAGATCATAAATGTGTAATTTTAAAAACATGTGGTGAGAAAATGTATTTGCATATCCTTGGAAAAATTGTTCTGTGCTGCATAGTTCAGCTGTTTCAGCCATGACGTGGCAGGGGCATTTCAAGATTTGTATGTTGCTTATGATACCATACTTTGCAAGGGAGGGTAGAGCAAGGAGTAGTGCAAGCAATTATTTTTGTTTTTTAGTATTTCTCCCTGTGGTAATCCAGGGCTTCCCTCTGGCTGCCCTGGCAGGTCTGGGACCCTGGCAGGGGGTCAGGAACCCCCCTGTTCAGAGCTCTGAGCGATACTGTCTGTGATCTCTATCCATGGAAAAGAGTTTTCAATCTTACAGGATGGATTACAAGCTCTGAGTGTTTGATATAAGTAATAATTAAGTGTGGCACAGGTGCAAAAGTAAAATTTTAGGATTCTAGATAAGGGGTCCAAAGGGGACAAGATGGAGGAAACTGGGTGTGTCTTGTCCTTTTTCTCCTTCTTCATGCCCTCCATGTTTCACTGTAGTGTTGGCATTTTTCTGTTGGTTTAAGCTGGGGACACACTGTTCAACGTAGGTGACAGATATTGGCACGTTATTGTAAATCCAGCACAGGTAGTTTGTGGTATTTAATGTTTGTACCATCCCACTGAGGGCAGAGCCCCACACGCTGCCCTGCAGGACAGAGCTGCGGCAGGGCAGCAGAACATGTTAGAGATAAACAGAATAAACAACCTTGAAACAGCACAGACCAATTATGGCTTCTGCTTTGGCAGCAGGGCAGAAAGACAGAGACTTTCTACAATCTCAGAATCATCAATACCGCAGATTCCGACACTCCCAAGGTAGAGAGTAACAGTACCAAGCATACCCAAAGTCAAGATTTCTGTGATGCAAAAAACAGTTGGGGTGTTGAGTTGAAAACTGGTCATCACTCTATATGAAAGCTAAATGAGGCCTGATGGGAGGGAGGCAATGGCATAGCTAAGTGTCAGTCCTTTATGATTATTGTTTCTATTTTGTGAGTGGAGCAATCAGCTGAGGGGGGTTTGCTGTGGGTGCCCCATGTCGGTGTGTGTCCCGCAGGGCGTGCGGCGCGCGGAGGAGCCGGGGCTGCGCAGCCTGCGCACGGCGCGCCGCCTGCAGCCGGGCATGGTGCTCACCATCGAGCCGGGCATCTACTTCATCCAGCACCTGCTGCAGCAGGCCCTGCACGACCCTGCCCAGGCCTGCTTCATCAACAGCGACCTCCTGCAGCGCTTCAGGGCCGTCGGTGGGGTGAGTGATTCTCAGCAGATTCTGCAGTAATTGCTTTTCTCTTGGTTTGCCCTTACTCTGTATCTGAAGAGAAGTCTTTTGGGACTTCTTACAACTCCCAAAAGTCTTACAGCTTTTGGGAGTTGTAATATATTGCACATAGGGCTGTTCCTGAAGCAGCACCTTGAGTCATTCAGACCATTTGGCTCTGCAGACAAACTGGGGGGTTTTGTTCTCATTTTTTAATGTGATTAATGATAGACCCATATTTTCCCATTGACTGAAATACCCTCTGCCAGCACCATACAGTGGCTTGCCAGGTAGGTGTTTTGTCTAATGTGTGACTCATGTATGTTATGAAATATGAGACTGAGTTCTGTAGTCCAGAGTTGGTTCCTTTACAGCAGCACAGGCCAGTGCTTCCTGCTGGGGCAGAAGAACCTGATGCAGTTTAAGTCGGGGAGGCAGTAGATGAAAACAGCAAAAACTGCTCTTAGAGGATTATTGACAGAATGCATGAAACTTGTGTCTTGGGGAGCCTTCCCCTTTTCCAGAAGAATAGCTGATGGGGTTCCAGGGCACCCGTGCTCAGTGTGACAGGCTCAGGCAGCAGTGTGCACAGGAGGATTGGCCACGGGAGGCAGAGGTGATCTGGGCAATCATTCCATGCAGCAGCTGCTGGGTAAATGGAGGGGCCTTGTTCATACATACTGTCCAGGGCACGTTTCCCATTCAAAGCCACCACCCTTGCAGGGCATTCAGCATTTGCAGTGCTTCCAGTGGGATTTTATTTCAGTAGAGCAAGCATTTGAAGGGTGCCCCATTGTTCCTGCACAGAGGAGATAGAGCAGGCAGCTGCCATGCCCCATCCTCCCCGTGGCTCTTCTGCCAAGTCTCAATCCAGCAAACAGTCACTGGCAGCGGTGGTGATTTTCTGGTGGGAAAAGTCCCTCATTAGGAATTGTCTGCTGCTGCCATTGACTGATTTATCACTGTACCCCAGCCTTGAGAGGGTGATTACTGTAGCACTTTGGTCTGAGCTGCCTTGGAACCACCAGCCCTGACAGAAAAGTTGTGTGCTATCCCCTGTCATGTGAGCCAGCCAGGCTCGAGAGCAGCCACCCATGGTGTGGGTGCAGCCTTGTTAAGAGACACAGGACTTTGCCCTTGCTGATATTTAATTCACTGCTGAGGTCTGGGACATTATCTGTCTCTGTGTTGTTTCTTTATCAGGATTTGCCAGCCAGACAACTGAGGTACTGGTGAACAAAAGGCAGCTAATTCTGCATTTCCTAACTGTGAGCACATTCTGTGTGACAGCACACACTGAAATGTATTTTAAAAGAACACTGAGATGTGCTTGGGCAGCTTGACACTGCAATGGAAATAGGTTTAACTGTCTTCATTTTCCATGTAAACATGCTCTGTGGGAGTTTTTCAGCAATTGAATTGATTTCTGGTGAATTTTCCCTGAAATTGCTCAGCAAAGCCCACATTTTCCCAAATGGCTCTGAATGCCCACTCCATTTCTGCAGTCTGAGCTGTGCCTGTGGCTCATCTTCTGCCTGTGATTGCACAGAATAGGAGTGACAGCCTGGGATCTCTACCTTGGTACTAAGTTGCTGGATCAGGCACTTTTGTTCCAGAGATTTCAAGCAAACTTTGTTCCCTCATTTTTGTTCAGCTTCCTGTAATGATGACTTGTAAGGAGAGCTAGCCAACAAACTTTGCTAAAAGAAGGGACAGCCCAAAAACAATTGAGCAAAAATCTAAAGCTCTGATCCCCCTGTGAACAATACATTTTACTTAGAGAGAAAAAATAATAACACACACATACCCTGAGCCAGATGTTGTCAGTTGATTTTGTCCAGGAGAAGAATGAAAATAAAATCTTAGACTGGAATACATCTGAATATTTTTGAATTCTTCACAAAAGCTGAATTATAGCACAATCAAAATAAGTTTTTCCATCTTTACCATTCTGACTTGATTCTGCATAAAAAGAAGATGCAATTTGCACTGTGTAAGAGTGCTCAGTTATGAACAAAATGTTTCATTCTATTTTTTTTTATTCTACTCACTCAGAGTGAGTGTTTCTCACAAAAGCATGCCAGAAAATTTTTCTTTCTATGGGATTAAAAAAGATCTTGTAAAGCCCAGTTTCTTCACTGACAAATATTAACAGGGGCTACTGTTGGTGTCAGTTCTAGCTGAAGAGTTCGCTACAGCCAGTCCAATCTTCCTTTAAGTGTAAAAATAAAACACATTCTACAAAAGGAAATAAGTTGTCTATTTCTCTCTGCAGAGCTCAGCACTAATTAAAATGTTCTTAATTTGGTTTAGTGTAATTTGCTTCAAAAATGAACTAACATTCACTGAAGTAACACCACTGTAATTCCAAGTAAGTCTGTCTGCACAGGAAATTTGTGGATTTTTCATAAATTCACCTTGAATTCATGTCGTTTTTGAGCTTTCAGTAATTTTCTTGACTGTGACAAGTCTCTGCCTTGAGAAGCAAAGCTCTTGTAGTGTGCCAGAAAGGGCAGGATGAGGCATTTATTGTGATTTGTGCTGGCTGGAGTTAGCCATGAGGAGATGGTGGAAGGTGCAGGAGCAGGAAGAAGAGTTGGTGCAGTCTGTGGCTGCCTGTGCTGCTGGCACAGGTGCTCAGCCAGCCCCTCTGCACAGCCCTGGGGCTGTCCTGCTGCTCAGGGACCTCCAAACTGCAGCCTGCTGCCTCTGCTGGGGCGGGGGCACATCCCTCCAGGGGGAAGCAAGCAGTGCCCAGGGGATGGTGCCTGTTGGAGCCCTACACTCTTTACTTGACAGCTGTTGAGTTCATCCTTCACAAACTCCCTCAGCCGATTTGGGGACGTTTCAGTCACACCTACTCCACTTCTCCATCTGCAAAAGCAAGGTCCAGTTTACCGAGGTCATAAATCCTGTGGGACAAGGGCTGCTGCTGGATGCTGGCACGGTGCCTGGCCCAGGGCACCTTTGCTCTGCCTGGACTCTGCCCCACAGCTCCTGAATAAACACAGATGTGCAAATAGAGGGATGTGCATACAGTTGTATGTATTGCTCAGGAAAAGCAGCTGAATCCTCAGGGAAGGGGAAATGCCAACTCCAAATGCTGCCCTTCAGGGTTTGACATTTCCATTCTTCATAAGCTGATTATGGATTCATGCAGTTCATATGATGTTTTCTCAAAGACAAAGTAAAGCCATTCAGTCTTTCTTTGGCCTTACACGTTCAGGCTTTATTTTTCCCTAGGATTTGTAGAACTAGCGCTAGACTTAATATCTGAAAACTATGCAACTTAGAGAAAATGCTGAAAGACAGATGGGTGTTAAATGCATTACTTTATTTTGTTTACAGATTTTTCTCATTTAAAAATTAAACAGATTTACAAAGACCAGGAACTTGAAGATCTGCTAATATTACAATATGTTTCAAAACAATAGTACCTCCCTTACTCAGAATAAATGCTAAACCAAATAAAGAGCAAGATATATAAGTGCTCCTACCTTTGGTTCAGAGTCATATTGTTGTCTCTGTCCTAATTTTTGTTTTTCAGAAGATTAGGCTCTGTTTCTGAGTTTATGGTGAATTTATATTGTGAAATAAAATTATTCAAAAGTTTTCATAGGAAACATACTTAATTTCCTTTAAAAGTTCTTCTAAGGGAAGTGATAGGTGTAGGCAACCCAAAAACTACAGCTGGGTGCTTATAAACCTTCTTTAACCCTTTTCTCTTGTCTAATTAAAATAATGAGGTTAAAGTAAGACCAGCTGTTTCTAACCTGTATTTAGCTTGTAGTTTCAGGCTTCTTTTTGAGCCTGGATGACGGGACTGGGCACCTGAGGCTTTTTTCTCATCTGTATCAGTTAATCTAATAAAATACAAGGCCTCACCCTACTGATATTGATCCTCTTCTATAAAAGTGTGAACATTTAAATGTGGACATTTAAAATAAAGGCTCTCTTGACATGAGGACTTGGTTGTGAATGAAACCTGCTTGTGCCAAGAAGACTACAGTGTGGGATGAGATTCATTGAGCTCAGAGCAGAAAACACCTTGGCAGAGCCACTGTGTAGAACAGCAGGAAAGTGCCTCCCCAGCCCAGCACCCTGGGTTTGATGCAGTAGCTCTGTTTCCTACCCAGTCCCTATGAGATACAGAAGTCAAACTCTGCTGAGGATAAGTTTGTTCTGTTAAAAATTATTGGGAAGTCAATGGTTGAGTTGAAATAAGTTCCCTTGGCTGCACACAGCTGCCTCTGTAGGACACCAGCTGTAGGAACAGACCCACAGGTCCTCCAGCTGGGCCTGTGTTCATCTGCTTTGGATGGTCCCATGTGTGGCCATGTCCTGTCATCATGTCCAGGCAAGTGTCCCCTCTAAGGTCTTTGCAGTGATAGTGTTGCTGCTTTCCACAGTCATAATCAATCAAATGATCAATAGACTTTTTTAAAATGGGGACATTTCATCAGTTGCCTTTTTTGACATCTGGGATCTGTCATCATGCAAATCTGGATTATTTAATTGGCAAAAATAGTTTCTTGATTGTCAAAATCCAAATACAAATATATATTATCATCCAAAAGAAATCAGTAAGTGCTTCAATGCTGTTTCCCTTGGAAGGTAACACAGGAGGCTCTGGGGAGCATGACTGTATTAGTAAGTCAGGACAAAGTGCGAGGCTGTACAGAGCTGACAGCAGCCCTGGTGTTTAACTCCTGTGCTGTCCTTGGCTGTGCCCCCAGCCCTGCTTTGGGACAGAGTTGGGACCATTGAGTCGAGCCACGTGATGGCCTGTTGCTGGTGTTAGGCAGTTGTGCAATCAGGTCTATTAGACAGATCATGCCACTACCCTTGATAAGAAAAAGGCATTTTTGGAGCAGTCCTGGCATTCCTGGCCACTGCATCTTCACAGGAGCGGTTTTTTTGGAGTCTGCCATTTCATATCAAGAAACTAAAGCCTCCCCTCGGTTTTTGCAGCGCACACTGAAAGCTGGGGGTGCAGTGAGCCTCACACTTCAGTGCCCAACTCCAAACCACTCTGTAGCCCTGAAACAAGCAGTACTAATGAACCAAGAGCCTGTGAACAGGGACAGCTCTGAGAGCAAGTTTCATAACCACAGGCCCCCTCTGGGAAAGGCCGTCCCAAACCAGTGAGCCTTGCCAGAGAGATCCAGCATCTTTTGTCCATTTGGACAGGAGACAAGACCAAATGACAGGCTCTCCTGTGGGGAAGGTTTTGCAGGTCCTCTGAAGCTGCTTCTTGCTGCTGCTGAGTTTAAATTCAGGGTGAAGCATGGAGGATGTGAAGAAAAAGAGCAAATGAAACCATTTCCATCTCTTGAGTGCCTGTTCCTCTGCACTCATGTTGCTTTTAGGCAAAGGAAAGCTATGCACTGAAAGTGGGAAATCTGACTTCTCTCTTATGGCAAGCATCCATTTCAGGTGAGATTCATCCAGCAGAAGAAGGATTAGATTCTGGGGAAAATGTTCTTAGGGAGTGGTGGGTGGTCCCAGAGGGCCAGTGGTTCTGTGTGCTTCCATTCACATCCCAAAGTCCATTTGGAGGTGCTGATGCTGAGCAGGCTGATGTGACAGCACTGGCTCTCCCACTTTTTACAGCAGATCACAGAAGTGCATGGATTGTATGACCTCCTAACAATGCTCCTCCTATACAGGGAGTTACAGGGCCTGGCCCTCATCCTCCTCCTTTGGTCACTCTCAGTTCCCTGCCTCTGGCAGCTCCAGCCCCTGAGTGCTCTCCTCATTCAGGATGTCTCACTTCTCTCCTCCACCAGGATCTCCTACCTGGACTCCTTAGCCAGTCCCAGCTCTCTTTCTCCATTATTTGTCAATCCTCTCTCACCTCACTGCACCTGCCTTTCCTTAGTCCTTTCATGACTCTTAACTATTTCCCAGCTCCTTCCCCACCCTGATTTTCTCTTGTGGCCTTGGTAGAGAGCAGCATGGACAGACACCTTGTCCCACTTGTTCTTCCCCACTGTAGTCTAGCTTTCATCTGCTCTGCTTTTAAGTCAGTCCATCCTCCCAAAGAGTGCAGAGGTATTTGTGAAAGCATGAAATGCTCTACTGGAAAACACAAACCGTTTTTCTTGTTTTTTTGCTAACGTTACTGGTCAAGAGGCTGAATTGTGACTGATACGTTGCTGTAGCTGGGGAATTTCAGCTCAAGCAGGGGGAGGTTTGTGAAGCAGGCAGTGCTTGGGAAAAAGCTCTCTCTGCAGGCAGAGTCAGTTCTAGCTTTGTCTGCCCTTCCCTCTGCTCTCAGACTTACTTTTGCACTGACATTTTCACTTTCCACATCATCACTGTGTCCAGCTCCATTTTCACTGTCTGGGCTTGCCAATGTGCTGCTTTGACTTTTGCCACCTTACCAGGTCTGTCCCTGGATTCTGGTACTCCTGCAGGGTTAGCCTGGCACCATCAGGTTTTTCACAGGGACTGGTCCACCCAGGGATGCTCTGCCCAGGCCCAAGAGGACAGGCATGTGGCAGGATTTGCCTTTGGATGCAGTGGGGCCCTCCTGCTGAATCCCTGGGTTATGTTTTGCTCAGCAGTCAGATTTGAAGCAGTGAATCAAAAAGCCCATCCTGATAAATTCTGCCCAAGTGCAGAGTCATTGCATGCATTGCTGATCTCTTCTGCAGCAAGGCACCAGCCTTTCAGGCACATTGAGCATACAGAGCCTCACAGCTTTCAAATTTACAGCTGTCCAAAACAAATGTGTAAACTCAATTTGTTTATTTAATTCTGTATTATAATACACTTAACTTGATACCAAGTAAAAGAAATAATCTGGCAAAGACATCATTAAACAGTTTAATAAGGACTGGATGACTCATTCTGTTTGAACAAATGGATTATTTTGCAATCAGAAGTACAAATGTTAACCAGCTTTATTTTTAGTTGGAAATGTCAAGAGGTCAGAAACAATTAAAGCAATTGTAAGGTAGAAGTACCCAGGGTTTGTATTCTTTTGGATTTGCACCTTACTAAAATTGCTTTTATTGCAGCTTAGCAACTTAGCAACATTTTTCTGATAAGATAACAGGAATGACTGTGTAGGCACATTTACTAGTAAGAAGAGATTAGAGACAAACAGAAATGGACCACACTTTTCATTTTAATAGCAAGAGTTGAAAAACTGAGAGGATCTGCTTTTTCCTTCCACGATTTGAAATTTAGTGATTGTATTTTAAAAGAAATATCTGACATGCTTGGGACTTTCTAATAAGCTCAAAATTAAACGTTTGAAATATCAGGTACAAGCTATTTAATTTGCAAAGTTTCACTTTGCAAGTTTGTTGTGTTTAGAGAAAAGTTTTAAGTGCAAAGAGAAACTACCTGAATTTCAGCTCAGAAACAGGAGAGCTTTGAGAGCAGACACTGTGGGCATCAGGAGGCTTGTCCCTAGCAAGGCAAGTGCTAAGAAGGCTGGAGGCAAACCCAGGGAAGAATGTTCTTTTACTGCTCCTGCTGTCAGGGATTTGAGATTTACTGGCCCTGTAGAATGATGCAGCATGAACTCACTGCTGCAGCACCTTGTTCAGACTGCCCTTGAGGTACCCACTGCAGCAGAGGCACCTGAGGGACCCCAGCACACCGGGGTCACCACGGAGCTGGTGTGGTCCCGGCAGGGTGGTGGCAGGGGCAGTTGGAGCCTGCAGAGCCCCGTGCCAAGGAACAGGGGTGGCAATTGCGTGCTTGCAGTGTGATGCTCTGCCTGGGCTGCAGCAGCACCTTGTGCCCTCCCTGCTGCTGCTGCTGCTGCTGCTGCTGCTGCTGCTGCTGCTGCTGCTGCTGCTGCTGCTGCTGCTGCCTGAGCTGCTCTCACCCCATCTGAGTGTCCTGGTGACCGTGTGCTCCCTGTGCAGGTGCGGATTGAGGACGACATCGTGGTGACAGCCACGGGCATGGAGCTGCTCACGTGTGTGCCACGGACTGTGGAAGAAATAGAGGCTTTCATGGCAGAAGGCCAGAGCAGTGCCAAGTCATTTGACTGCCTCTCCAGCCAAAAGAAGTAAACTTGAGGATGATGCTTACTGCCTCAACAAATCAGTCATCATTCTGATTTAATGCTGCAGTATATTAAATAAAATGCATCCAACTGTTAATAGCAAGAGAGGCAGGCAGGCTACGAGCTGGAAAAGTTCATGCATTAAAAATGAAGGTAGAAGGCCCAGGTAACTCAACTGCTGCTTGCAGTCAGCAGTTTATGGGACCAAGTGGCAGCCAAATACCCCCGCTGCCTTATCAATGGTTCTTACACTTCTGTCAGATCTCAGCTCAGATTGTATCTTGCAATTAAATCTGAATTTTGATGATTCGGACTCTAAAACACCACAAATGGATTATCTGAAAGCTATGAGCAATTGTAAACACTTAAGTCCTTTTTTAAACTCCATCACAAGTGCTGTGAAAAACAGAAATAAAAATCAGTTGTTCTCAGCGGACATAATGACATATTTTTCTTATGGATCTGTATCTATGTACTAAGCAGAATCAAATTTTTATTAAAATTCACCTTGGCATCATTTGTGTTCACAACTTTGTGGTCATTATGCTTTTCTGCTCCAGTTCCTGCTTCTTTATCTGACCCTACTATCAATTTGTGCTCTGCAAACTTTGACCCTTCTCTAGGCAGAGTTTTCTGCTCTGGATAGTGGCTGTACTGATCCTTCACACACAGCCCCATGCTCATTAGATCTGTTCATCTATTTGTTCCTTAAAAACACAGATTGCTATGGTGTTCATGGCCCTTAAAAGTTGAAAGAAGGGGGAATATCTTTGCTGCAGGGCTCATGGTCATTCAGCAGCATATGCTGTGCAGCATGATAGAGTTACTTTTAACTGCTCAGTGTTAGTTCAGAATGAAATAATGTAAATATTATTTGGATACCTTACAAACATATTAATATTGGTCACAAAATTATTTTCCACTCATGCAAGTTGTAAATCACCAAGAGAACTTTGTTTTTTACTGCAGGTATTCATCAGCTTGCACAATAATAAATACATTTTTTGCATCATAAAATAGTACTAGGTGCTGGTAACTACATAAAAATAATCTTTCTCACTCTACATACACATCAAAACTCCTGTTCAATGTTCAGATCCTGTTGCAGTTTGATTGCAAAGCCACTTCAGAACGTCCCTCTGCTGTGTTTCGGAGGGAGCTGAAGCCACAGCAGAACATCAGGGCCTTTCTGAGTCTCAGTGCCTGCCAGGTGAGCATTTCCCACTGAAGGCATCAGCTGAGCTGATGTCTCAGCACCTTGGTGTGAGCAGCTCAGCTCTGTGCTCACACCAGGCCGCTGAGCTGCAGGCAGAGGGACGGACTGTGAGCCCCTGTCTCACCTGGGGGCACAGCACAGCATGGGCTGGGTGCTGTCAGACACCACTGCCACCGCCTTGGTGCCTGCCCCAGTGCTGCATTTAGGCCTGAAATCATCTCCTCACACATCATCAGATGCACTGCTCTAGGAGAGCTCCTGTTGTTAAGCAGGTTGGTCTGTGTGCCAAGAGCCTGTGCTTTATTCCCTGCAGCTTGGTGATCCACTGCTATGTAGGAAACTTCACGTGGGAGAACAAAGATACGTTGTGAAACAATCCAGAGGACTTCATTAATGTCACTCAATTAATAAATAAGCCTATTTACATTTTTTTTTAGAGGTTTCTTAACATTGGTTTGTAACAGGCAAGTGCAGGAATTCTTGACTGTGAAGGGAAACAGTTTTTTCAGGAAGGGACATTGTCAGATCAGAAGCTTGGATGTGCTGCTGCATTGATGTTCCTGCTGTGCTGACTGGAATCTTCCACCTCTGAAACGCAGTACCTGCACAGGACATCAGGCTTTGCTTTGGTAACCTTGCAGATGTGAGAACACAGAGACTATTCTGGCGTTGCTCGGAACTTATCTGCCCCCAAAACTGAGGTTTTTTCAGTGAAAACGGGACCCATGGCCTCAGCCCCGTTCCCTCCACAGCCGAGTGTTTTCCCGTGGCAGGCTCTGAACACGCCCGGGGGATGGCTCAGTGCTTTGGCACTGAAACCTGCCGGGGCTCGGGTTCCACTGCAGTCACTGTTTGATAGGAACACTCCTCGGCTTTGGAAAGGAGAGTTTGGAACTGTTTCACTGTTTGATAGGAACACTCCTCGGCTTTGGAAAGGAGAGTTTGGAACTGTTTCAGCTGAGCCGTCACCCCGTGTGGCTGGGCGGCCTTCCCCGCCCGTGCTGGGCGCTGGCAGGAGCCGGTTCTGCTGTGGAGCCGGTTCTGCTTGGAGCCAGTTCTGCTTGGAGCCGGTTCTGCTGTGGAGCCGGTTCTGCTTGGAGCCGGTTCGGCTTGGAGCCGGTTCGGCTTGGAGCCGGTTCTGCTTGGAGCTGGTTCTGCTTGGAGCCGGTTCTGCTTGGAGCCGGTTCTGCTGTGGAGCCGGTTCTGCTTGGAGCCAGTTCTGCTTGGAGCCGGTTCTGCTTGGAGCCGGTTCTTGGAGCCGGTTCTGCTGTGGAGCCGGTTCTTGGAGCCGGTTCTGCTTGGAGCCGGTTTCGCTCCTGACCCGGCCGCCGCTCCGTGCCCGCTCCCCGCTCCGTGTGCTCGGTCTGCCATGGGCCGCCCTCTCCGTTCTCCTTCATCATCAACCCCATGAACTTGGTGAATATAAATTTCATCCTTCATTCCAGAGTTGTTCCGTAATTATGATCATTTTTATCCACTTAAGCAAAAAGTGAATTAGACCTTTTTTCCTAAATTGGGGAGGGGAGGAGGAATAAACCTTTTTTAAAAAGCCAAATATTGTAAATGCAGGCAAACACAATGGGAATAAATGATGATGTCTGACTGAATTCAGAAGGCTGAATTATTTCTTTATTGTAACTGCTAAAATACATTAATATACTCTATAAAAGGAGGATACTAAATCTACATACTACTTTCTCTGACCCTAACACAACTTGTGACCCTCTCTGAGAGCCCAGCCCCAGGTGGGTTGGATTGGCCATCAGGCTCAAACAATCCTCACCAGAATCCAATCTCCAATCAAGCACTTACCCCAGGTAAACAATTCTCCAAACACATTCCACATAGGAAAAACAAGGAGCAGAAATAGAAATTGTTTTCTCTTTCATTTCTCTCTGTGCACCTCTATGAAAAATCCTGAGAGGGAGAGAAATGTGCTTGCCACAGGCACAGTGATATTTAATACTTTAAAAAGTGGTGTTTAATAATTTTAAGTTTATTAATGGGGTGAAAGTACAGGTTATGGCAAATTTTCTTTTTGACTACATCATGGTATTTTATATTCCATCATGTTTTCTCAAATGCCTTTTCCCCTTGGCACAAACAGACTGAATAGAATTGGCACCGAAGTAACAGAACGTGTCTTATGCCCAGCAAATTTGTGTGTTTAGAAACGTCTGAGCGCTTCTGAAATGATGCATGTAAGTTGCTCCAGCAAATTGCTTGAGCTCCCTGGGGTTGGGTGCACTCTGAATTTACCTGCCAATTACCCTGCTGCAGCTGCAGGGGTTCTTAAAGGAGTGCAGCCTCCCAGTGCTCGTGGGGCTAGAGCAGACCCCTTCCCTTAGGGGGACAGTGAGAAAATGGGAATCTCCATTCCTGGTGAAATGTGCGGTGCTGTAACTCCTTCTGTACTGACAGGCACTGGATTCTGTCACAGACTGAAGAAAAATATGTCAGAAGGAAAATCTTACCTTTTATAGGACTGCACTGAAATTTTCTGTGCCCTGCAGCAGAGGGGTGAGATGGGGGTGCTTTGCTGCTGCACAGCCTGGGCTGCTTCACTTTGGGAGAAACGAGCCTTGCTCCTTGGAGCTGCTTTGGCAGGTGGGGGCTTGGAATAAGCCTGAGCCCTTTCTTGCAGCCTCTCACTGGGGCAATTTAAATCATGGATTTGTTACTATCACGGCACTGAGGTGCTGCACAGAGCCACTGCTCCTCCCGGGCCTTGTCCTGCTGCCAGCTGGGGACAAGGATCATTGTCCCAGTGCCAGTCAAGGACAGGGATCCTTGTTCCAGTGCCAGCCTAGGGCAGGGAGCCTTGTCCTGGTGCCACCAAGGTCAGGGATCTTTGTCCTGGTGTCCCCAAGGCCAGGGATCCTTGTCCTGGTGTCCCCAAGGCCAGGATGGCTTGGCAGTCTTGCTGTCCCCAAGGCCAGGGGTGGCTGTCCCCGTGCCGGGGCTGTCCCCAAGGTGGGGATGGCTGTCCCCTGTGGCCCGGCGGTGGGGACCAGGCCCGGGTGCTGAGCAGAGGCTGCGGCCGCCTTGGGTCACTCCTGGCCCTGAGCCCCTTGGGGCATCGCCTCTGCCACAGCTGCTGGCACTGATTTTCTTATCTGGTTGCTGTTAAATTGAAAATTGTTCCAGTAACAGTAAATTGTTATCTCAACCCCTAATCTGCATTTCATCTCTCTCACCTGGGGGAGTTGGGAGTGGCTTCTTGGGGTTTATTTTCATTTGGGCTTAAACCACAGCATCAGTTAAAAAAAAAAAAAAAAAACAGTGCAGAGGCTGATAAACCAGAAATTTCATTTTCCAAACAAATTACTTTCATAACTCAGTGGTTTTCAACATGAAGGGGATCAGAGCTGTCAGGAACAACAGGTGGAAAAGTCACCCGGAAAGAGGATCGCCCTCACTCACAGGAGATCTCAGAAATCATTTCCACCAAAATCACAAGCAAACAGGGAGGATTTGCAGCCCCTGTTCAGACTGGTGGAGGAGGGCCCCAGACCTGCCTGGCAAACCAACTTTAGGACAACAGGGCCACAGTCCCAGTCCACGGGTCAGACCAGCAGGGAAGAGATCAGCGCTGCCCTTTCCACCAGGGGACGTGCAGTTAACGAAGGAGATGCCTTCAGGTCATCTTTGTCCTGGCAATTTTTGGTGTTCTCCTTCTTTTAAATTTTTTTTTTTTTGCCTTTTTTGTTAAATCAGACATTTAGAAAAAACTGTAGCGAGTTTCTGATTGCTTCCATGGAGCAGAAACCTGAGTGAAAGAGGGGAACACAGACTATTGCACTGATGTCTCCAAGACAGTGGTGTGACTTGGGCAACTCTGCACTTGAGGGAAATAGAAAAGGGATGGGAAAAATGAGGCTACTACAAGCAAAACATTTTTATTAGCTTCTGGTATTTCAACCCTACCAACTTCAGATGCAGTTAGAATGAAAAAAACATGTCATTAAAAAGTCTAACATAATCCAAAACAATCCATAAAAGTTTTCCACATGTATTAAAAGTTTAAATTCAAAAAAGAACTTTTCAGGGTTTCATTCTCTAACAGTATCTTCATAGAGATAACATCCAAGTTTTTTTCCTAAGTGCAGATACAAAGCAAACAAGCATCCTCCAAAATAATCTATGGACAAAGGTAGTGGAAGAGGGAAATTAAGACAGTGTAGCAATCTACAAGACAGACACACAGGTTAAATGTAAAATAACCATACCATCAATGAAATATTTAAAAATTAAAATAAATTAAAGTTACATCAAAGTTCCTGCTGTACTTTGTTTAAATC